TCTTCTTTCACCACTTCAGGATACCCTTCACCACTTCAGGATGCTACCTGTCTAAACAGGTGGTTTTCAGGTCTTCGGGCCTTTCACCACTTCAGGACCATTCAAGATTTTCAGACTGCCTTAAACTCTTACTTCACCACTTCAGGATGCAGCCTGTCTATACAGGTGGTTTTCAGGGTCTTCGGACCTTTCACCACTTCAGGACCATTCAGGATTTTCAGACTGCCCAAAACTCTCACTTCAGAATTTTCATTCCTGCATTTTCAGCTACCCGTTAACTACTTGTGTCAGCGCCATTGCCGTTGTGTATTGCCTCGGACCTAGACTGCAATCTGGTCTGCTGACCCAACCCATTGTGTCCATTATATGCTATTGTGACCATGTCAGGCAGCCGTTGTCCACCCGCATTTGCCCTCTCTCCAAGGATCCCTTCTGCTATGTGCATGGTGTGTGGTGTGTGTATGGTGAGAGTGCTTGTGTATTGTGTATTTGTGTGATTATGTCGATGAATCTGTATGATATGTATGATCTATGCTTCGTGTGCCTAAGTTGGAAACGGGTTCCATATGTCGTGTGTGACAGTGTTATACTGTGATGCTGTTGTATCTGAGTTGTGTTACATGATGTGTGATGTGAGTGTGTTGAGTGTGTTGAGTGAGTAGTGTAAGTAGTAATCTATGGTGGATCTGTGGTAGCTCTTTGTGCCTCAGTGGGTTGAAGAGATCCTTGTAACCTTATGTAACCATATTGTGACCGTGTGAGCATACACCGATGGACTCCATTGCCTTCTCTGGAGGCTTCTTATGCGAGCACGTAGTCCCTTCATTCTAAAAAAAACTTAAAACATAAAAAACCACTAAACCCCTAAACCCTTGACCTATGTCAACACTCCTTTATGCTCCCCCTATTGTTCCTCTGTTGTTCCTCCGAAGGCCCTGGCATTGTTGAAAATCTTCCTAGTATGAGAGTCCACACTTGGCTGGCATTTTAAGCAAACGGCAGTTGGAAATGGTGGAGGGGAGGGTGGGGAAGGAAGAAGGGGGGAGAAAGGTGGAGGTTGAAGTATCTCTGACTCTGGTATCAGGGGTCAGGTAATTCTAGTCATAAAGAAGGGTGAAGTTCAGCATTAGAAAGGGGACGGTGAAGTTGTTGATCAGAAGTCTAAGTCATTGCGCTTCTGTAGCCAGTCACGGTTTCCATGGTGATTGGTTATTCTGCTCCAATTCGCATAATTTTCGTTCTCCATCAATCCAAAGGGGTCGAAAATTCTCCGAGAGGTTATTCCGTTTGGTGAGTTTCTAAGCGAGAGTCAACAATGATGGCGCTAGCCAATGTAGGAGAAGTTTTTTGTCTCGCTTTTTTTTTTTTTTTTGGCACTATGAGTCGCCGACCTCCCCCCAAACCCGGCCCTAACTAACCAGAAAGCAGAGTTTTGGCCATCGAGGGTAACGGTGGTTTAAAAGGATCGGGTTAAGGAACAATGGGCAAAACTTGTAAATGCTCCACAGGAGGTTCTTTGCTGAATCCTATGGTTTAAAGGGGTGAATGGTAACCCAACCAAAATTGCATCTCTACAGTGGCAGATTTTCCATAGATGCCTGCCCACTAACTCCTGGCTCATTGACCACACCTGCCTTGGGCAGAAAGGCATCGTGTTGTCGTGGTGCCCAGCCTGCAAGGAAGGATTCCCCTCGCGAAAGGTAAACAAGACCATAGAACACATATTCCTCCAATGCCCAATGGCGGTCCTTATTTGGGACGTGGTGGGCCCAAATCTAGAATGAGCTGGGAACTGGGGAAAAATGACCCTGGGATTGGAAAGCAATCCTGTGTGGTTTGTGGACCGTTCAAACCGCCCGCACCCCACCCTTCACAGCGAACATATTTGCACTGGGCAGAAAAGCGGTCTTATGGGCCCTCTGGCGTCAGTGATGTGTCTTGGTTCGAGAGGGTACACGCACAACACACTGAAACAATCAAGAGTGTCATTGAAGCAGAGATCAGGGCCCAGTGCAACAAAGTGATTGGGAATCATCAGCCTGTTATCCATGGCGTACCTTTGATCCGTTGAGCGAGAGCCCTTCCACACAGGGTCCCTGGATCACTATGGCCGACATTCGTCTCTGTTCGACTTGTAGGCATCATTCGTTCTATTCTTTTTTAAAAGAACCAAAGATAGGTTTGTCATAAAAATAAAAAAAAACTTGATAATGATTACATTCCAATATTACCAACAGAATTGATTACAACTGTATTTCAATATACTGTTTATGCTTCCAAAATACAAAGTTGGACGAATCTGGAAACTTTGGGAAATATACTTTATACCACTTATTTTTATTTGTTTCGGGTTTCAAGTCTTATTTGATAAGTGGCCATGATTGGAGCTATAGTAAGAGTTTCTTCGAATTATCTTGCCATATATTATTGCTCAAAGTATGCTAAGAAAAACGATGTTTCTTTACAAAGATGCTAAATTTCAACAACGCTGGATCTCTGAGATGAAATTATTGAATCCCAAATTTTCGGAACATATTGACTTGATATTGCAATCAAAACAAAAACTCGGAGAAAATGGAGTGATTTTGAGCACTTTAAAAAGATATGATTATCCACCATTAGTGTGTAATGTGGGATGGTTGGAATTACTGAGTGTTTTGATGACAATTTTATTGTTGATCAATAATCTTTTAACCACTGCTAATTTGTTTTATAATAATCTAATCATAGATAATTTGACCTATCAACATTTATCTTGAATTACTACGACCTTCTTATTTTATGTTACACTCAAGAAGATGTACATCATTTATAATTTTTATTTGCTTATTCTTGACAGTAATGACTATTTATTTAGCAACTTGGGTAGTACCATCTGATTTTTAACAAGGTGAAAATTATCGTATCATCTATGTACATGTGCCTGCAGCTTGGATGAGTTTACTTATTTATATTGGAATGGTTATTAGTAGTGTGTTATTTCTTGTTACTAGACATCCAATTTTTCACTTATTTTCAAAGATTAGTGTCAAAATATGCGCTTTATTCACCTTCTTTACTCTAGTTCCTGGAAGTTTTTGGGGAAAACCTATATGGGGAACCTTTTGGGTTTGGGATGCTCGAAAGGAATGCAAGCCTTTCCAAAAAGTTGGACATTGAACAATGCATTAGTGAATTTGTAAGGCATGGCTTCGGGGGAACGTGGGGGGAAAATGGCAGGGATAAAATTGGAAGGCTGAGAGTTGGAGGACCAAAAGAGATTGGATGCTTCCTAGAAGAACTATCATCTTTACTTCTATGATTGGACTATCTGAGGTCAATACCCCTCCTCCCCCACCCTCTGAGTTTCCTGATCCTTTTCCCCTCCCTCGAAACACTCTGGCAGATCTGGATTGGTTTGGTGGGAGGTGAGAGGTCCTCCGCTCTGCATGTTTGGGAAGCGAGGTGGAGGGTTGTCGCATCCATCTCCAGTCGCCCACTGGGGTTTGGTGCTCGAGGCCTGCCACAACACCCTTCGTGCCCTGCCTGAACAAGCTGGAAAAGGTGTCTCCCTCCATTTTCTGTTTGCAACCATGTGAGACTGTGATATCTGAAGCGGTACTTTCCTCATAAGAAGGTGCTCCTATATAGTCAATCCACCGGTGAGATAGGGCAATCAATGCTAACAAAACACAATGTTTAGGGACACTGGACCCATTTTCAAGCAGGTGTTGCTCCCCACCACTAGATGGAGCCTACCCGGGAGTAAAAAAAAAAAAAAAAAAATTTGGCGCACCTCCCTTACTACTATTTCTTTTAGAAAACCAATCAATACATAAATACTGTAAAATTCTTTGCACACTCATTTGTAAGACACTTCACCTCCAGTGGAGTATTCTTCCCCCTCAAACTTGTCACCCGCCATAATCCTATCACTAATCCCACCATCGAATCCCTCTTCTGCATATTTGTGTCTTGAATCTCTAATCTTCGGCATCCGCTCATCATATTGTAGTGACCTGCAACTTTCCCCTCCTCTACTTCCCCATTCTCTCGTTCTTCATCCATGGTCCACTAAGAAAACTCTCCTTAGTCAAATGCAGCTACATCCCTTGAACTCTACATAATATATGCAGATTTCCCCGACATTGTCGACACGATCCAAATACCCAGGCTGGTAAATGATCCCGAACACACTGCACCCTGGTGAGAAGATAATCGATCAGACTTCCTCTTCTGCAAACAGGATCTACCAACAATGAAATTAAAACACAAAACACAAGGAGTAGGTCAAGCAGAGGGTGAGTAGAGATCATCAATCATAGAGCACCCCTCACCTAGATAAATAATGTATATACGAATATACACTTATTTTCTGGTTCTGACGGTTCACCATTAGGCCACATTGAGAGTCGGTGATACCATAGCAGTGGAGAAATAAAATGCTATGGGTAGTGGCTATTCCCTTAAACTAGTTTTTCACTAACCTGCCACATTTGTCAGCTCATCAGAGGAGAATGATTGAAGCACACTTACCTATACTGCTTTGCTTTCCGAACAAGGATGTATACAATCATATGCATGCATTTAAACCACCAGTACTTGGCCCATACATTGGTCGCAGGGCGTTGTCGTTAACACTCAGCAACTTTCGCGGCCTTTGGGCCGATGATGAATCACATCAACGGTCCAGAGTGCGTCGTCGGCCTCCGAGAGTCGCAGGGAGGGGCTCGTGGCCGATGTATGGGTCAAGTACTGGTGGTTTAATAGTGAGTGAGTGAAAGGGATAGAGATTTTTAAGGACTTAATTATAAGGGTGAGCAATAAATATCATACTGAGGTTATAAAGATGCTAACTCGAAATTTAACCATCACCTTCGGGGGGCGCTTCTCCCTGTGATTCTTTGAACAAATTCTCGTCCCTCAGATGCTCCGCCAGCATCTCCTCAAACGAGAGAGCCTCTTCCATGGTTCACCGTACCTCGCGTGATACCCACGCCAAAACCCCTTGTAGTATGCACTTCAGCACAACCTTCCTCTGAGGTACGACCACTGCAAGCAAAATGGCAGCTTCGCAGGAGAGAGTGGTGCTTGGCAGGGAGCATGAGACCGATATCCCTATCCTCTTCTTTCACCATTGTCCTCTCCTCTTCCAATAGTATCGGGATGCGAATGCGGTGCTCGACAAATGAAGCCGAAGTTGAAGACGAAGACGAAGACGAAGACGAAGACGAAGACGAAGACGAAGACGAAGATGAAGACGAAGACAATGGCGGAAACTGATCAGACATCGCGCTACAACTTCGGCAGATCCCCATGGTATGTTAGCGCTTGCAGCGTTAACTTACCGCGGTGATCTACCGCATAACCTCATTCATCGAGGATTATGAATGGTCTATTTTTCTGTATTATAGTTGGTGTCTAGTGGCCTTTCACAATAGTTTGTCTAACAAGCTGCTCAGCGCTCCCGTTTAAACCGTTCGATTAGTGCTGGCTCATTTTTTATCTCCGCCGCCCTTTTCTTCCGATTTTGGAACTCAGTTCCCTTCCCTTACTAGTTATGTCAAAGGCCCTGTTCCCGAACCCACTTAGAAGCCCATTTCCCTTCCCTGATCTTTTCCGTCCCCGTCCTCCCACAATTTTATTTTTTTTCTTAATTCTCCGTTCTTCTTTTTTTCTTTTTATAATTTTATTTTTTATTTTTCTTTTTTTCTTTGTTACTTTTTCTTCCCCCTTTAAACCGCTGGTATCTCCGAGCCTGTTTTTGCCAACCCTGATTTATAGTGCATGTCGATTTTGTTGAGCCTGTGTCCCGTGGCACATTTCGAATTCGTTTTTTTTTGTGTGTATTTTTGAAGCGGTAACGTTTCCACTTGTGTCCTGGTCGGCCTCCGGTGCGGTCCGACGAACGAACGGACGTTCGGGCGGGGTCCTTGTGGTTGGTCGCATTATGCGAGGCCGAGATTTTTTTAATTTTTTTTCCCCCCTCCGGTCCAACGTCGCGTGTGTCGGTTTGCCGCCAACCGGTAGTCCGAATTGGAGGGTGGTGGTCGTCCGCACATGGGTTGACGGACGGACATGGACGGTTGCCATCGCCAGGTCGCGTCCCGATCTCCGATTCAATGTGTGTGTGTGTGTGTGTGTGTGTGTGTGTGTGTGTGTGTGTGTGTGTGTGTGTGTGTGTGTGTGTGTGCACGTATGGACGTTGTTTATTGCGTCGTATGTGTATATAAGTGTGGTGTCATTGTCGTGGATGTCAACTTCAACATCTAAACGACAACTTCGACGTTGATTGTGACATCCATCGCCTTGACACTTGGTTACTCTCTCTCTCTCTCTCTCTCTCTCTCTCTCTCTCTCTCTCTCTCTCTCTCTCTCTCTCTCTCTCTC